AGTCAAGTGCTTACAGGCGCTCCCAGTAGTTAAGGTGTTTGATGGAACTTATACGTGCAGTAAAGGTTCTCTGTACATTCTCTAGTTCTGCAATTTCACCTGCCTTGAATGGGGATGTTAATGTACAGCAGTATTCCAGCCTAGAAAGAATAAGTGATTTAAAAAGGATCATCATTGGCTTAGCATCTCTTGTCTTGAATGTTCTCATTATCCATCCTATCAGTTTCCTAGCAGATGTGATAGTGGCATTGTTGTGGTCCTTGAAAGTGAGGTTTTCGGACATTACCACACCCAGGTCCTTCACATTGATTTTCCTCTCTGTTGTGTGATTGGAGTTTGTAGTATACTCAGTTCTAGTTATTATTTGCCCGGGATCGAACTGGGGTACTTTCCCGTGATGCTTTTGACCACTCTAACTACAGAGCTGGGTTGTGTTTGCCGGGGTCGAGATTCATTTCCTTTCCCCGTCTCTTGGACTGCTTTAGTCACTGATTTCTAACTATTTGGCTCTTGTCATATCTACTTTTAAAGCTGCGTACTGAATTTGTGTGGTGGGGGGGAGGTAGTACCAGACATTCCCAAAGGGGTCATGAGAATACTGTACACAGCTGTTCTAAGACGCTGGTGTCAGTCACTGCCAAAGCTAAAATGCATAAATCACTTGAGTGACACCACTCAGGTAATGCCATCTCACTCTCCAGGACCAACACATGATAATACAGAGTACGAAGCATTAGCAAGAGCATTAGCAGAGAGGTAAATGGTGAGTCTGAAGGTCACGGGAACGCATTTAGAAACCTGAGTAGATCCATAAGCTACTACAATAATATGAACGTAGATACGCATAAACCTAACAGGCTGCAATATAAGTTGTACGTGAATGGTATACAGTACCGACAAGATGAAGAATTAGACACATGTGCAACATCTTGGTGTCTTGATTGTAGACGTTTCGCCATCCAGTGCCTTTACCAATACAAATTCAAGGACATAATTGGAAGAGAGTAGAATTATATACAAAAGATGAGGCAATCAGTCCCTCGGCCTTGAAGCAACGTAGTCTTGAAGACTACGGTGCCCTTTACCAACTCCAAGGCTGAGGGACTGATCACCTTATCTTTCGTATATAGTTCTACTCTCTTGGAATTTGTATCGATGAAGCCACTGGATGGAGAAACGTCTACAGTAAAGATACCCAGATGTTGTACATGTGTCTAATTCTTCAGCCTGCAATGTAAACAGACTGATGTAGTAGTCAGGTAGGTGAGCTACTCCATACTTTCTCGTAGCAAATATAATTACCACCCATTTCCCAGCCGCTGACTCTGTAGAATTTCACAAAGGTGAAATGTCTAGGAAGAAGCCTGTAGACCATGGTTGTCTGACCTCCATTACTTTGTGTATCGACGAACCAAATTTATCCCAGTCCACGGACTCCATCTCACAGCATCGTTATCACTACAACTACTACTACTACTACTACTACTACTACTTACTACTACTACTACTACTACTACTACTACTACTACTACTACTACTACTACTGCTACTACTACTACTGCTACTACTACTACTACTACTACTACTACTACTACTACTACTGCTACTACTACTACTACTACTGCTACTACTACTACTACTGCTACTACTACTACTACTGCTACTACTACTACTACTACTACTGCTACTACTACTACTACTGCTACTACTACTACTACTACTACTACTACTACTACTACTGCTACTACTACTACTACTGCCTACTACTACTACTACTACTACTACTACTGCTGCTGCTGCTGCTGCTGCTGCTGCTGCTGCTGCTGCTGCTACTACATAACTACTCTGCTGCTGCTGTCTACTATTACTTACTACTATCTAACTACTACTCTGCTGTGCTGTCTGCTGTCCTTGACTGGCTTACTACTACTACTACTACTACTACTGCTGCTGCTGCTGCTGATGCTACTATTACTACTGCTGCTGCTGCTATTGCTGCTGCTGATGCTACTATTACTACTACTACTATTACTACTGCTGCTACTGCTGCTGCTGGCGCTTCTATTACTACTACTGCTGCTGCTGTTATTGGTGCTACTACTATTGCTACTACTACTACTACTACTAACTACTACTACTAACTAATAATAATAATAATAATAATAATAATAATAATAATAATAATAATAATAATGCATGTAATTAGTGACGCATCCTTACACACTACATCACAATCTTCGAAAATCCCACAAAAAAATCAAGACACTTTTAAGCCTTAAGCAGTAATCCCAGCACTGTCTTGCCCCCCACCAGCCATGGCAATTAAAGGTAAACCGGAAGGTTCTTCTCTGGTGAGGCACACAACGTAATTCGATCCTTATGTAGGAATTTGTATGAAAAAACTTAAAATCACGGGGAAAAGTATAGGGGAAATTTATATTTTTATGTTTTTAAGAGAAAATTAACTTGATAAGCGAGAGAGGAGAGGAGAAGAGAGAGAGAGAGAGAGAGAGAGAGTGAGAGAAGAGAGAGGGAAAAGGGGACATAATTTGTGGTGTGTTTTCTAGGCAAATTTGAGCCCGGGTTCATGCCAAGTTCGTTCATATATAACATTAATTGCGAAGTTTCTGAATCTGTCTCACCATGAATAGGTGGTGGTGTGTGGTGGTGAGTGGTGACGGTGATGGTGGTGGTGGTGTGTGGTGGTGGTAGTGGTGGTAGTAGTGGTGACGGTGATGGTGGTGGTGGGGGGTGGTTGGTGGGAGGTTGGTGGTGTGGTGGTGGTGATTGGTGGTGGTGGTGGGGGTGGTGGTGTGGTGGTGGGGGTGGTGGTGGTGTGGTGGTGGTGGAGTGGTGATGGTGGGTATGGGGTGAGGGTTTGGGTGGTGGTGGTGGTGGGTGGTGGTGGGGTGATGTGGTGGTTGGTGGTGGTGATGGTGGTGGGTGTGGGGGGAGGTGATGGTGGTGGTGGTGGTGGTGGTGGTGATGGTGGTGGTGGTGGTGGTGGTAGTGGTGATGGTGGTGTAGTGGTGACGGTGTGGTGGGGTGGTGTGGTGGTAGTAGGGGTGACGGTGTGGTGGTGGTGGTGGTGGTGGTGGTAGTGGTGTGGTGGTGGTGGTGGTGTGGTGATGGTGGTAGGGTGGTGACGGTGATGGTGGTGGTGTGTTGGGTGGTGGTAGTGGTGATGGTGGTAGAAAGGTGACGGTGATGGGGGGTGGTGGTGGGGTAGTGGTGGGGTGGGGGGGTGGTAGTGGTGATGGTGGTAGTGGTGGTGACGGTGATGGGGGTGGTGGTGGTGGTGGTGGTAGTGGTGATGGGGGTGGTAGTGGTGACGGTGGTGGTGGTGGTTGGTGATGGTGGTAGTGTGGTGCGGTGAGTGGTGGTGGTGGTGGTGTGTGGTGGGTAGTGGTGATGGGTGTAGGGTGGTGACGGTGGTGGTGGGGTTTGGTGGTGGTGGGGGGGTAGTGGGTGGGTAGTAGTGGTGACGGTGATGGTGGTGGTGGGGGTGGTGGTGGTGGGGGTGGTGGTGGTGGTGGGGTGGTGGTAGTGTGATGGGGGGTGGTGGTGGACGGTGGTGGTGGTGGGGTGGGTGGTGGTGGTGGTAGTTGGTGACGGTGGGGTGGTGTGGGTGGGGGTGGTAGTGGTGGGGTGGTGGTAGTGGGATGGGGTGGTGGTGGTGCGGTGATGGTGGGTGGTGTGGTGGTGGTGGTAGTGGTACGGTGGTGGTGGTGGGGGGTGGTAGTGGTGGTGGTGGTGGTGGGTGGTGATGGGGGTATAGTGGTGACGGTGATGGTGGGTGGTGGGGGTGGTGGTAGTGGTGGTGGTGGTGGGGTGGTATGGAGGGTGGTAGAGTGGTGACGGTGATGGTGGTGTGGTGGTGGAGGGGTGGTGTGGTGGTATGGTTGGGGGTGGTGGTGGGGGTTGGTGAAGTAGTGGTGACGGTGATGGGTGGTGGGGTGGTGGGTGGTGTGATGGTGGTAGTAGTGGTGACGGTGATGGTGTGGGGTTTGTGGAGTGGTGGAGTAGTGTTGACGGTGATGTGGTGGTGGTGGTAGTGGGGAGAGTGTGATGAGTGGTTGGTGGAGGGGTGATGGGGAAAGTGGTGAGGTGTGGTGGGGGTGGGTGGTGGTGGTGGTAGGGTGGTGGAGGTAGTGGGAAGTAAGTGGGGACGGTGGTGGTGGGGTGGTGGATGGTGTAGTATGGGACGTGATGGTGGTGGTGGTGGTGGTGGTTGGTAGTGGGGTAGTAGTGGTGACGGTGGTGGTGGTGGTGGTGAGGTGGTAGTTGTGGTGACGGTGGTTGGGGTGGTGGTGGTTGGTGTAGTAGTGGTGACGGTGATGGGGGTGGTGGTGGTAGTGTGGTGACGGGGGGTGGGGGTGGTGATGTGGTAGTAGGGTGACGGTGGTAGTGGTGGTGGGGTAGTGGTGGTAGTAGTGGGACGGTGATGGTGGTGGTGGTGGTAGTTGGTTGTAGTGGTGACGGTGAGGGTGGGGGTGGTGGTGGTGGTCGTAGTGGTGGTAGTAGGGTGACGGTGGTGGGGTGGTGGTGATGGTGGTAGTAGTGGTGACGGTGGAGGGGTGGGGGGGTTTGTGGTGGTGGTGGTAGGGTGGTAGTAGTGGTGAGGGTGGTGGTGGTGGTAGTGGTTGGTAGGTGGTGACGTTGATGGTGGGTGGTGGTGGTGGTGTGGGGTGGTGGTGGTGGTGGTGGTGGTGGTAGGTGGTAGTTAGAGGTTTTGACGTGTTTGGTTTGGTGGTGGTGGTGGGGGGTGTGGGTGGTGTGGTAGTGGTGGTAGTAGTGGTGACGGTGATGGTGGTGGTAGAAAGGGTGACGGGTGCTACACTATTATATATGATAGTTACATTGTGGTAACACCAGCAGTGTGCTGATAATAATAATAATAATAATAATAATAATAATAATAATAATAATAATAATAAAATTTAATAATAATAATAATAATAATAATAATAATAACAACAACATACTATTATATTTTTCAGCTCTGAAGCAACATAAGGCAAGACTGGAGCACTGCTGATAAACAACTTTGAACCAATGAACAAATATGAACACTAATTCTGAACAGTTGAAAAAACTGTGGATGAAATGTTAAGGACAGGATTGAACAGTTGACACCAATGTTGAACAGATGAGAATAGTGATTAGACAACCGATGATGAGCATACAAGAACAGTGATAATGAACTACGATGAACATTTGTGATGGAGAACAATGTGAGATGAACAATGAACTTTCCTCTCAGTATTTAGTAAGGAAAATAACTCCAGGGGTTTGGCTGACGAACAGGGTTTGAAACCTATCGACTACACGAGACAAGAATACTTTAACCCCTAGAATAAAAATTAACTTCTCTGTATATATATATACACTGAGAGAAATATACCTTTCTGTATATACATCCTGTTGTTCAGAAAATTACTGAAGAAATAGGAGATAATGACAATCCTAAGAGGCTTTAAATTGAATAGAAACACTCACTAATTGCAGGACATGATAAGATTTTCTTCGGATTTTTAAAGCTAGAGGGTTAGCCACGAAGAATAACCCAAGAAAGGCAGTGCGTCATAGAGGACTGTCTGTCCTATTTCATAACTTTCTCAAATTCACTTTAGCATATTATTGGTTTGAGCAAAATAAAGTGGAGGAGGAGTCGATTTAGACAGTATATGGAAAGTGGAGGCTGTGTTAACTCAACACGTAAACATCCTAAGCTTCCTGCCCTGGATGTAGGCTTCCAGTGGAATGTTTGCGTAGATGGAGACAAAATACGTTAGTTTACCTTCATTTTATTTAAGAAAAAAAACGTACGGATGTAAACTTTATGGGGAACTTAGATGTTTATTCAGGTTACACTCTTCAGTACACTTAAGAGAATTTGAAGGTTTAAGGCCTATCCACTACACAAGGGTCATTAAAGCTGGTTGGGTGCTTAATGGCGTTTAAGGCCTGTCAACTACACGAGGGTCATTAAAGATAGTTGGATGCTTAATGATGTTTAAGATCTATCAACTACACGAGAATCATTAAGGCTGCTGCATGTAACCTTTTCACCATCAGAGGACTTGAACTCTCAGCATATATACACTGAGAAATACACCTTACATTGCATACATCCTTTATTAAGCTAAAATAAGCTTAGCTTTATTCATGAACGCTACAAACGATTTGTAACTTTTTTAGCCAGTGTTGATATTTTATACAAATGTTTTTGAGAGCACATGTATGTTTGTAGAAGTATATGTTAGGGATAAATTATATAGATTTAAGATGGGTCGAGCTAACAAATATTATGTGATTAGTCGCATTGTGGATGTGTGTGTTACGAAGCTACGAGAAGGGTGTGAAAGGGGACTTGTGGGAGATGTAGGGAGTAGTAGTGACAGTGAATGGAGGTGAAGGCAGAAAGAGGGTGGAGGGTGGAAGGTGGAAGGAGTGAGAGGGAAGTGCAGCAGAGAAGACAGATGAGAGGCGAAGCAGAGAAGTTCAGGAGCAGAATCCGTGAAGGCACAGGACGTGAAGGTCAGCAGTCTATGTGGTGCAACACAGTAAGGGCTGCAAGGTAGGGGCAGGGCTGTGTATACGGAAAGGGTGACAGGGAGTGAGCAAGGTACAGATGGCAAAGGCTTGAGCTTGTATTCCAGGATGTACATGAACTCCAAGGGCAACCTAGACTACTGGTCAACAGACAACTGCTGTGTGAAGTGGTCCCTCAAGACGGGTGCCTGCACTATTGGCACTCTATCTCTGGTAAGTGACACTCACTGGCTACTGGAGCTCTCTGTTAAGTAATTACTTTCTCCATAATAAGCGGTGTACTATGTACACATCTTACCACATCTTTATTGCTAAATAAGACACTCGTGCAACATTTGGGTGTCTTTATTCTGGAAAATAAGACGCTCGTGCAACTTTTGGGCGTCTTTATTCTGGAAAATAAGACACTCGTGCAACATGTGGGCATCTATTCTGAAAACATTTCGCCACCCATTAACTTCTTCAGTCCAACAGAAAAGTGAAGTTGAGGTATTGCACAAGTGTCTTATTTACAAATGTGTCAGTTTTCAAAACTATTTAATCAGACATAACTTCACTGATTTCTTCATTGTTTTCGCCATGCCTGGCACCTCTCAATACTACAAAAGACAGTGGTAACGCCAGTATAACTGCATGCTGGGTGGCAACTGGCACTACCTAAGGACCTGTAGGCACTCTTTAACTACTTTTAGTACTGATTAGCATTTATCTAGACCACCTTGTCTTCTCTGGTGGTATTTGAGACATTAAAAATCGTACGAAGATCTTATTCCATCAGAAGACTCTGTAGCAAGCCGTAACAGTGTTATTACTAGTGCTGCTGCTGCTACTACTACTACTACTACTACTACTACTACTACTACTACTACTACTACTACTACTACTACTAGTACCACTACTAATATTAATAATAATAATTCCCACTAGTATATGTCCACTAAGAGACAGCTTGGCACACAGGTGTGGCAAGCACTGATGGTGACAGCTGGCGTTATGATGCTGGTAGACTGCCCTGTCGAGCATGCTCTCACCGACACCCACCACTCCCTCCTTCAGGAGGCAGGTATCGGCACCAGCAATGCCACCCTACACCCAGGTGTCACCCTCTCTCAGGAGGGTGTCGACAGAGGTGCCGCCCAGGAAGGTGCCAGCAATGCGGATGGCGAGGCGGTGCAGAGTGCCAATGGCTGTCTCCTTGCTGAGAGGAACGACAACAGCAGCAGCAGCGACTACAGCAACAGCAGCAGCAGTGACTACAGCAACAGCAGCTACTACAACAGCAGTAGCAACGGCATCAGCAGTAGCAACAGCAACATCAGCAGTAGCAACAACAGCAGCGTTAAAAAATTTAGCTGCCCGTGGCTACCTGAACCAGAAACACAGGTGTTAGGCATTTATGACCAAGGCAAATGTAAGTACAGGTGTCATCCTAGGAGCCACACTGTCCAAAAGTATATATAAAACTATAACACCTTCAAGTAGAATATAATGATAGAACATGTACTATTGTTACACACGACCGTCTTTGATATGCTCCTCCTTTTGCGTATTCCTTGTACTTTGTAAACAAAAAAACTTGTTCTTTGATATATGTGTCCGTCTACTACGAACATGTATCTGATTTTGTATACATGTGGTTGAAGAATAAGACACATGTGTAGCAGTGGCTTACTCTTCAACTTATCAGTATAATATACCATACCCGCCATGGGGTTATTTAAGACCGTCTCTTTGAAACAGTGTTGCTGGTAGCTGGTCTCTTTCTCACCTACTCCAGTATCTACTGCATCCTCTCTCTGTGTGTCGTCGTAGGCGTTATTAAGGTAACCAACCCCCAGATTATTATTATTATTATTATTATTATTATTATTATATCCCACAAAGCAAAAGCCTCAACATTATCATTAGAGTAAAAATACTACGTATATATATATATATATATATATATATATATATATATATATATATATATATATATATATATATATATATATTATATATATATATAATATAGGAGTGGACTTTCAGGTTTTCTGGTTACAATCTTGTTGTTTCATACGCTTTTAAAACTAACATTTGTGCAGGGAGAGCACTCGGCTGGCAGATGTCTTATATATTAGTTCTGTCACTCACAATAATATGATTTTTTGTTTTGTTTTTGTTTTTACGTGAAGTCCAAGTATTGTGCCGGTTCGTCATCTTTCAATGAGTGATTCGTAATGCTCTCATGGCCAGTTCTTTATTCAATTATAAATTTGTCGTTATAATTAAAAGGATAAGGCCCATCTGATTTAATTGGGTATACTTGTTCTCGTTTCTCTTTCTTGCAGAAAGCGTCGCTCCTTTCCCAGTTACCTCCCAGATGCGTAATCCAAAGACACTGAAAAGAGAACAAGGCTTTATCAATTTAAGATAACGTTTAACAAGTCATGACTTAATAAGGCTCTCCTGGAGCGAAACATTGTCATGATAAAGCCCCGCTTTACTCTTAGGTGTATTGGTATTAATCTTCGCAGTCCTCGACCTTTCCAATCATTACCTCTCATATCTGGCCATGTTTCCTCTCAAGACACCGGAAGGCAGGGGTCACTACGGCGTCGGTCGTGGCGGCCCTATAAACCACCAACAAAAACAAGACCACAGTGAATCCTAATATCCGATCCGGTACTCAAGAACGAAAACAACAGCATAGTGAATGCGATCACAGCACATGACTCAGTGCTCGTGAACAACATACGGGAATCGGATATCATACCAAGAAATGAACTGTAAGACACTAGGGTCTTGTAACAGCGCTGTTCGTAGAGAGAAATGTTTACCCGGTTTGACACATTGTCGGGGCACACGGGTTGGATGGGGGCCAGGACGGTTTTAGGACGTAGATTTGGATCCAAATATGTGTAAACTTAACATGCAGAGATACTTCCCTTAACTACATGACCATTTTAAGTCACAGAGATTCCCGAAAGTGATGGTTACACATTTTTATGTCTAATCAGCATACACACACAAGACCATACATAGCACAAATAAACCATGAAAGATTAATAAATACTCGCTTCTAAAAAATCGCATTTAGACAGAAACGCAGATGGGTGGAAAGACCTGTATATGTCTACCTCCAAATGTGTTCCCTTATGCTGAAGAGGACCTCAATAGGAGGAGTCTTACAGCACCTAAGGAATAAGGAGTAATAAAGTTTTATCACGGGAATTATAAACAGCTCCAGTTCTTTGAATTAAGAGTCTTTTACCAGCATCAACAGCACATCGTACTTTAATAAATAAATAAATAATATTTTTATTTACTATAAGTACATCAATGACAATGACATCAATGACATACTATTATATAGAAAGCCTCTTGTTATGCAGAGCATTTCGGGTAAATTAGGTCAGTTTTGTCCCAGGATGCGACCCACACCAGTCGACTAACACCCAAGTACCCATTTTACTGATGGGTGAATATAGACAACCGGTGTAAGGAAACACGTCCAATGTTTCCACCCCTTCGCCGGGAATCGAACCCGGACCCTCACTGTGTGAAGCAAAAGCGTTTGCCACCAGGCCACGGGAATCGTTCTACAGAACTCCACGAACTATAGCAGACAGTAGAATAAACCCACAACGGATGATGGGCCTTATCTTAAGACGTTTAAAATATAAATAGCGTGAAGCGCTGCGACAGGTCTATTGGCCCTGCTAGGAAGGTTCATTTTACACCTACCCACATCCACTCGTGTACCTGTCCAACCTCTTTTCTAAGCTACTCCCTTTAATAATGCTACTCGGGAGCTTACTCCACTCATCAGTGTCGCAAAATACAGATCTTCCTTGCTTAAAATGTCCATTAACTATGGTATTTTGCTCCTGCAGGGGTCGGTGAAGCTACTGCAGGGGTGGGTGGCCTTCACGGGCGTGCACAACATCGTTATCTTAGTGTTCCTGCTGGTGCCTCTGCCCTTCACCACACTCCCCCACCTCGTCTTCGCCATAGCTCACTTCATCATCTCCCTCTACACCTGGGCCGTCGTCAAGTCCTACATGTTCTCCCTCAAAATAGAGAAAAACAAGCTATTGCTTCCCGAGGGCTCCATCACGGATTACCTTGTCGATGGTATTGACGTGACGGAGATTCCAGTGGAGGTCTGACCACAGTCTGTCCATGGATTATATCATCAATAACATGATTTGAGATCCCCGTGGATGTCGGACGACGAACCACGGTTCGGGTGGGGTTAGAGCCCATGGCAAGTGAGTCGTAAAACTCCAATAAGAACATAAGAACGAAGGAACACTGCAGAAGGCCTACTGGCCCATGCGAGGCAGGTCCAAGTCTCCTACCGGCTTAAGCCAATGCACCCAACCTAGTCAGGTCAGGTCACATTGACTTAAGGGAGGAACACGGCAACCGACCTGGTAGCTCAAGCTATCAGGTCCAACTCACACCCACCCACATCCACTCATGTATTTATCCAACCTATTTTTAAAGCTACACAACGTTCTGGCCTCTATAACTGTACTCGGGAGTTTTTTGTTCCACTCATCCACAACTCTATTATGACAGAAATCCCGTGGATGTCTGACGACAGCCCGTCCTTCAAATGGAAGTGGAATGGTTTTACCGATGAGACGAGGAAAAGGACACTTACGTACTTTGAAAATGGGTTTGGACAAATATTTTTGTTAGTGGGCTTATGTATGAGAAGGACCTGCCTAGTATGGGCCAGTAGGCCTGCTGCAGTGTTCCTTCTTTCTTGTCTTCTTAATTAGAGGAAATCTTTTCGCCATGCGTTGCTTCTTCAGTCCGTGTGGAGAAACATTTCATTAATCAGTGCTCTGAACTGTACATAAGTGCAATTTATATCCTCTCCTGGAGGCAACGCCGGTAGTTTAATCTGGCTAAAGACGGAAAGTAAAACGCCGTTGACACAGTGTGATGCGTGAATTACCATGGGATGGAACCTAAGCTATGACTGCATTGTAAATATAACTGACTAGCAGTGTATCCTGTTATTGGGGGGTTTATAGGGCCACTGATAGCTTGCGCCGTAAGCACTGTATTATTGTACAGTTCGCTTGGTGAATTTCCACCTTTTCTGTCCATGTTTATAAAAAAGATTTCATGGCAATTATGTATGTGACGAAGAGAACTACAATGAGTGTAAATGAAACAACATATTCGTTCAAGAAAGAAGGAAAAAGCCCTGTACCATGACTGGAGTAATACACAAATGTCCCGCACATACGAGACACAAACTTACAACGACGTTTTGGTCCGACTTTTATATATGCAAAGTTTTGCCCACTGAGGGCTTACTATGTACTTGATAAAGTCCCTAGTGAGCGAAACGTTGCTTAAACAAATGTACCATATGAATAAGTATAAGTATATTTGTAATGATGTCTGGTATTTCCTATTAATAGTGATGTGTATTTCATATTGAATAGATGTGTATTTCTACTATATACGATGTGTGATTTGCTATTAATAGTATGTGTATTTCTATGAATAGTTTAGTATGTGTGATTTCTCATTAATAGATGTATTCTCTATTAATGTCATTTCTATTAATAGGACCTATTTCATATTGATCTGTTTCTGTTAAAGATTGTATTGCTATATTAGATGTGAGCTTTCGTTCATTATTCCAGACTACTTACATCTGGCTGAAGAGGACCTCATTTAGAGATACATAAAGGCAGCTTCTTTGTCATTTTTTTTAATTTGTCTCCAATAGTCCGTTGTCTGCACGTTCCTCTGTCCTATTAATTTTTAACATGTCACGTGGGTAATTTGCTGGTGAAGGGCTTTTGATCCATGAAATCGGAGCTAGCCTGGCCTTCTTTAGATTTAAATTAGTTACGTCCCATCAGTTATCTTTTTTAATTCATAGTGGTTAAGCGCTAGACCCGTAGGGGTCTAATGCAACACCCAAGGAATTGGATTAAGAAGGTTTTATTCAAGGGGAGGGTGGCTCCAGTTCAGTGGATCAAGACCCCTTGATCTCTGTTGAAGAGGACCTCAGCTGGGGGTCGAAATATACAGAAACAAATCTATGTGTTTTCTGGACCTGTCCGTGTATTATATATATCAATGACTGAGGCCTCATTGACCTTCCTAGGAAAAAATTCAATAGCCTGGGTCCTAAGTACACTTTAAATAAATAAATAAAATTCGGGCTTACTAGTTTCTTGTATCCCACAGTGGTGTCTTTAGCACAGTAATGTAAGTAATGTGCATTGCTGAACGTCCCTTAAAGTTGCAATAATGTGTGCAGAGTTCTGGCCAATTGGTGAGAAGCATTTCTAATACCTAAGCAAGTAGGTACAGGTTACTAGGTATTAATATCTAGGTATAGATATTATACCTAGTAACGTGTGTAAATTACCTAGGATAACCCAGAAATTATGACAGTGACTTATTTCTATTGGGGATCCTTGTAATATCTTATTATTTAAAACCTAGAAGTAAGTTGCAATAGAAGTCAGTCATGATTATAACCTCTGCCTAATAATGCTAATTATGGACCAAAGTGGCACGTTGTTTTGGGGGTGTTTAGGGAATTTACACATTCGTTACTATGTTTAACAGTTCGCAGATGGGCGAAATTATTTACATTGTCTCTACGTCCACAGCAGGACTCGAACCTGCAAACTCTGTATCAGAGTCCACAGTACTTTACCACGGAGCCAGACGCAAGATAAGTATTGGCGTCCAGCCGGAGCCAGACGATGTTACCCCATACCCCCTGGCACCATATCCCTGGGCGCCAAGCTCGTTTTGAAAGTTATTTCATCGAATCCTGCCACATGCAGTGGATAACGAAAGAGATTCGAAATGCTTAACAATTCGCAAAAAGGCGAAATTACTTACAAATATTTTACGTCCACAGCAGGACTCGAACCTGCAAACTCTCGTTGTCCACTGCATGTGGCAGGATTCGATGAAATAACTTTCAAAACGAGCTTAGTGCCCCGGGGGTATGGGAAAACATCGTCTGGCTCCGGCTGGACGCCCATATCTTGGGTCTAGCTCCGTGGTAAAGTGGACTCTGATACAGAGTTTACAGATAATTGGGTAACAGTACTTAAGTGTACCTGTACTTAAATAAACCATCATCCAGCTGGTCTAGGATTGCTGGGAGTAAGAAGGAGGAGGTAAGACACATAGGCAACAGTTAGGTAACTTTATTTCGAAACGTTTCGCCTACACAGTAGGCTTCTTCAGTCGAATACAGAAAGACAGCAGCAACAGTAGAGATGTGAAGACGATGAAATCAGTCCATCACCCTTGAAGTTGTAGAATTTGAGGTTGTCAGTCCCTCAGCCTGGAGAAGTTCGGTTCCATAGTCAGGAACTATCTGGGATAGTTCAATGGTATACAATACCTGTCTGTATTGTATACCATTTTGATTTTCAAGAAGGAGGAGGTTTTATACAAGAATAACCCGTACATGGGAGAGAGGAGCTTACGACGACTTTTCGGTCCGACTAGGACCATTTATATAGTAACTTGTAAATGGTCCAAGTCGGACCGAAACGTCGTTGTAAGCTGCTCTCTCCTATATGCGGGTTGTGTATTCTTCCAGTCAAGCTATTGTGCCTACTTGTTATTTAGAGTTTTATAATGTTGTGCACGTTCCACTCTTTGTTTGTGTTTAGAAAGGAAAGATTTGGCTAATTAATTCACCCACATGCTGTACTTTCAACAAGACTGAGGGACTGAACACATCGATTCCAGACTGAGGGACTGATTACCTCAAAGTCCTTTTCTCCTTACACCTTCTTGCTTTGTATTGGACTGATGAAGCCACTATGTGGCGAAACGTTTCTTCAATAAAAATTCCCATGTAAGAACATAAGAACATAAGAAAGAAGGAACACTGCATCAGGCCTACTGGCCCATGCGAGGCAGGTCCAAGTCTCCTACCGGCTTAAGCCAATGCCCCAACCTAGTCAGGGCAGGTCACATTCACTTAAGGAAGGAACACGACAACTGATCTAGTAGCACAAGCTAGTCAGGTCCAACTCACCCCCACCCACACCCACTCGTGTATTTATCTAACCTATTTTTAAAACTACACAACGTTTTAGCCTCAATAACTGTACATGGGAGTTTGTTCCACTCATCCACAACTCTATTACCAAACCAGTGCTTTCCTATATCCTTCCTGAATCTGAATTTTTCCAACTTAAAACCATTGCTGCGAGTCCTGTCTAGGCTAGATATTTTCAGCACGTTATTTACATCCCCTTTATTTATTCCTGTCTTCCCTTTATACATCTCAATCATATCCCCCCTAATTCTACGCCTTTCTAGAGAGTGCAGATTCAGGGTCCTCAGTCTATCCTCATAGAGAAGATTTCTGATACATGGGATCAACTTTGTCATCCTCCTTTGTATGTTTTCCAGAGCGTTTATATCCATTCTATAATACGGTGACCAAAACTGTGCAGCATAAATGGAAACATAAACACATATGCAGTTTAATGTGATCCTTTATTGACAACGTTTCGCCCACACAGTGGGCTTTTTCAAGTCACAAACAGATCTACAGATCTGTTTGTGACTTGAAAAAACCCACTGTGTGGGCGAAACGTTGTCAAAGGATCACATTAAACTGCATATGTGTTTATGTTTCCATAGTGTCGGTATTTTATACCATTTATTTTCATCGCAGCATAAATGTTGGTAAAACACATAGGCAACATTCAGGTATCTTTATTCCGGAACGTTTCGCCTACACAGTAGACTTCTTCAGTAGATTGAACATTAAAATGGTATAAAATACCGACAGGTTGTTAGGTAAGACACATATGCAACAGTTAGGTATCTTTATTGTGAAACGTTTCGCCTACACAGTAGGCTTCTTCAGTCAAGTACAGGAAAGGTTGATAGAAGCAGAAGATACTTGAAGACGATGTAATCAGTCCATCACCCTTAAAGTTTTGAGGTGGTCAGTCCCTCAGTCTGGAGAAGAGCATTGTTCCATAGTATGAAACAATATGGAGAAGAAGTGACAGGAGGGAGCTTTTATAGCGCCAAGAGGTGAGACGTAGGAGAGGTAAGAACTCAGATGTTGAGAGGTCCCTCTCAAATCCAGCCCCCTCACTAGTGGAAGTTGCCGAAGTTGATTGCAGGTCTGTACCAAGATACCCTTGTGTTGCAGTGTCTGACAGATTGAACATTAAAATGGTATAAAATACCGACAGGTTGTTAGGTAAGACACATATGCAACAGTTAGGTATCTTTATTGTGAAAAGTTTCGCCTACACAGTAGGCTTCTTCAGTCAAGTACAGGAAAGGTTGATAGAAGCAGAAGATACTTGAAGACGATTAATCAGTCCATCACCCTTAAAGTTTTGAGGTGGTCAGTCCCTCAGTCTGGAGAAGAGCATTGTTCCATAGTATGAAACAATATGGAGAAGAAGTGACAGGATGGAGCTTTTATAGCGCCAAGAGGTGAGACGTAGGAGAGGTAAGAACTCAGATGTTGAGAGGTCCCTCTCAAATCCAGCCCCTCTCACTAGTGGAAGTTGCCGAAGTTGATTGCAGGTCTGTACCAAGATACCCTTGTGTTGCAGTGTCTGACAGATTGAACATTAAAATGGTATAAAATACCGACAGGTTGTTAGGTAAGACACATATGCAACAGTTAGGTATCTTTATTGTGAAACGTTTCGCCTACACAGTAGGCTTCTTCAGTCAAGTACAGGAAAGGTTGATAGAAGCAGAAGATACTTGAAGACGATGTAATCAGTCCATCACCCTTAAAGTTTTGAGGTGGTCAGTCCCTCAGTCTGGAGAAGAGCATTGTTCCATAGTATGAAACAATATGGAGAAGAAGTGACAGGATGGAGCTTTTATAGCGCCAAGAGGTGAGACGTAGGAGAGGTAAGAACTCAGATGTTGAGAGGTCCCTCTCAAATCCAGCCCCTCTCACTAGTGGAAGTTGCCGAAGTTGATTGCAGGTCTGTACCAAGATACCCTTGTGTTGCAGTGTCTGACAGATTGAACATTAAAATGGTATAAAATACCGACAGGTTGTTAGGTAAGACACATATGCAACAGTTAGGTATCTTTATTGTGAAACGTTTCGCCTACACAGTAGGCTTCTTCAGTCAAGTACAGGAAAGGTTGATAGAAGCAGAAGATACTTGAAGACGATGTAATCAGTCCATCACCCTTAAAGTTTTGAGGTGGTCAGTCCCTCAGTCTGGAGAAGAGCATTGTTCCATAGTATGAAACAATATGGTATTTTATACCATTTTAATGTTCAATCTGTCAGACACTGCAACACAAGGGTATCTTGGTACAGACCTGCAATCAACTTCGGCAACTTCCACTAGTGAGAGGGGCTGGATTTGAGAGGGACCTCTCAACATCTGAGTTCTTACCTCTCCTACGTCTCACCTCTTGGCGCTATAAAAGCTCCATCCTGTCACTTCTTCTCCATATTGTTTCATACTATGGAACAATGCTCTTCTCCAGACTGAGGGACTGACCACCTCAAAACTTTAAGGGTGATGGACTGATTACATCGTCTTCAAGTATCTTCTGCTTCTATCAACCTTTCCTGTACTTGACTGAAGAAGCCTACTGTGTAGGCGAAACGTTTCACAATAAAGATACCTAACTGTTGCATATGTGTTCTTACCTAACAACCTGTCGGTATTTTATACCATTTTAATGTTCAATCTGTCAGACACTGCAACACAAGGGTATCTTGGTACAGACCTGCAATCAACTTCGGCAACTTCCACTAGTGAGAGGGGCTGGATTTGAGAGGGACCTCTCAACATCTGAGTTCTTACCTCTCCTACGTCTCACCTCTTGGCGCTAATAAAAGCTCCATCCTGTCACTTCTTCTCCATATTGTTTCATACTATGGAACAATGCTCTTCTCCAGACTGAGGGACTGACCACCTCAAAACTTTAAGGGTGATGGACTGATTACATCGTCTTCAAGTATCTTCTGCTTCTATCAACCTTTCCTGTACTTGACTGAAGAAGCCTACTGTGTAGGCGAAACGTTTTCACAATAAAGATTACCTAACTGTTTGCATATGTGTCTTACCTAACAACCTGTCGGTATTTTATACCATTTTAATGTTCAATCTGTCAGACACTGCAACACAAGGCTATCTTGGTACAGACCTGCAATCAACTTCGGCAACTTCCACTAGTGAGAGGGGCTGGATTTGAGAGGGACCTCTCAACATCTGAGTTCTTACCTCTCCTACGTCTCACCTCTTGGCGCTATAAAAGCTCCTTCCTGTCACTTCTTCTCCATATTGTTTCATACTATGGAACAATGCTCTTCTCCAACTGAGGGACTGACCACCTCAAAACTTTAAGGGTGATGGACTGATTACATCGTCTTCAAGTATCTTCTGCTTCTATCAACCTTTCCTGTACTTGACTGAAGAAGCCTACTGTGTAGGCGAAACGTTTCACAATAAAGATACCTAACTGTTGCATATGTGTCTTACCTAACAACCTGTCGGTATTTTATACCATTTTAATGTTCAATCTGTCAGACACTGCAACACAAGGGTATCTTGGTACAGACCTGCAATCAACTTCGGCAACTTCCACTAGTGAGAGGGCTGGATTTGAGAGGGACCTCTCAACATCTGAGTTCTTACCTCTCCTACGTCTCACCTCTTGGCGCTATAAAAGCTCCTTTCCTGTCACTTTCTTCTCCATATTGTTTCATACTATGGAACAATGCTCTTCTCCAGACTGAGGGACTGACCACCTCAAAACTTTAAGGGTGATGGACTGATTACATCGTCTTCAAGTATCTTCTGCTTCTATCAACCTTTCCTGTACTTGACTGAAGAAGCCTACTGTGTAGGCGAAACGTTTCACAATAAAGATACCTAACTGTTGCATATGTGTCTTACCTAACAACCTGTCGGTATTTTATACCATTTTAATGTTCAATCTGTCAGACACTGCAACACAAGGGTATCTTGGTACAGACCTGCAATCAACTTCGGCAACTTCCACTAGTGAGAGGGGCTGGATTTGAGAGGGACCTCTCAACATCTGAGTTCTTACCTCTCCTACGTCTCACCTCTTGGCGCTATAAAAGCTCCATCCTGTCACTTCTTCTCCATATTGTTTCATACTATGGAACAATGCTCTTCTCCAGACTGAGGGACTGACCACCTCAAAACTTTAAGGGTGATGGACTGATTACATCGTCTTCAAGTATCTTCTGCTTCTATCAACCTTTCCTGTACTTGACTGAAGAAGCCTACTGTGTAGGCGAAACGTTTCACAATGAAGATACCTAACTTCTTCAGTAGAGTACAGAAAGTAAACAGGAGTAGTAGAGATGTGAAGACGTAGTTTAGAGGTTTGTAGATGTCCATATCATATACTAGGATCATCATCTATGCTAGAAACTTGATCTGATGTAAGCAATGGCCAAAATATAAGAGAAATTGAGACCCTCAAATGCATTCAAATTGCATGTAGAAGGTATGAGAGCAATGCGGAACTCGTCAAGACTGAAATGAGGGGGACAAGAGCTGTAGTTGAACCTTGAGTTAGTACAGATAGTAGTGAACAGCTGGTGGGTACACAGAATAAAATAACATACACTCTTACATAAGAATTTGGTTACTAGGGTATATAATCTCTAATTTTTTATTATCGTTCAGTGACTTAAATTTACATAATTTTTAACTCTTAAACGCGTTTTAAATACCGATATACACCATCATTTACATATTTACCAACACCAATGCATTACTATACTCAGGCCATAGCTAAAACACGATAAAAAAATACACAAGGTAAGGGAAAATGGTAGAAAATTACTGATATACAAAGGGAGTGAGCGAAGAATTGAGATATATAAGAAAACTGAACCACCCTTCACCAGTGCCTGATTGGTCGTCGTCTTAGGTGGACGTGCTGCTCGACAGAGGTGCAGTATTACTTTATTTCACCTATTCTATGCCTTATTTCCCCCTGGTTGGCAGGTGGAGTGGTTGGTGTGTGTGAGAGTTGGGTAACGAGGAGTACAAGTGGTGTAATGGGTAGTTATGGGTGGTTGTTAGGGAAGGTCGGGGATGGCTACGTGCTGGCTGGCTGCGTCGTCATGGCCGACATTTAAGTAATGGAATTTGAACAAATTTATCTATTTTTAAGTCCTTGGGTGATTTAAACTTCGTTGGTGTTGTTTATATTGATGTTGGTGAATGGGTGATATATTTGCAACTATTGTGGCTTTTTGTGGAAACGTTTCGCTCCAGGAGCTGTGCTGACAGTCGTAGCGAACGACATACAAAATGCCGCATTAGTTAACTATGTTTTTACCTAACATTAATCAGTTGTCAAGGCACTCGAGCTACCATTTTCCTTCACTTAAACCTAATTTACTATAAATTCTAAAAGATTGTGTCCGTATGGGTTTAAAGCGCCTCCCTAAGTTGTTAATTTACGGCACAAGTACACCATATACATACACACAAATTATCTTTCCCCCATTAATAACATGTGTAAATTACCAGGTTAACCCCCTCAAAAAAAAAGAAAAAGGTCGAAGTGACCTTTTTTTTCCATTGTTTAAAAATTAAATTTCTCGATTTATACTTTAGATTTCCCCTCAAGGGGTTTCCCTTGATGAGGGGCTCTTATCTAGGGGATTGGATCTATGCTCCAGTCCCCAAAAAAAATTGAGCCTGAATATCTACCCCCCCCCCCCCACATGCCCTGTATAACCCTCGGGTTTAGCGCTCCTCCATGATTATAAAAATATACCTCGATTATTTCCCCCTAAAAGTGTTCACGCCAGTTTGTGCACTTATTATTTCTTGTATATATGACCCTTGTAGGTTTAACGCTTCGTTTTAATAATTTCTTATGTAAGTTTGAGATTATAAATTAAAAAGCAAATTGTGTTGTCTCTTATATTGTAGAAAGTTATGGTAACATGAAAGTGAATTATTATTCTTATTACTGCCCCAGCGCTGTATAACCCTTGTGGGTTTAGCACTTAATTATGATTATATTAATTTTATTACTGGAAATAAGCCACTTTGACTTTTTTGGGGGAAATTAACCTAGGTAATTACACGTAATGCTATGTATGATAATTCATGTAACTGCATTTATGTGTATCTGTACCTGAATAAACTTCATATATAGTTACTATGGACCTCAATGGTTGACAATGAATTTTCATATTTGAGGTCTGACCTAAATAAAAACTTACGTTACTACCACTACTAAGTAAATAACTAAGATTATTTAGGTACAGGTACATATAAGTACAATTACCATGCATATTAACATGTGTAATTTACCTAGGATAACTCCTCCAAAAAAGTCACTAATAATAATAATAATTATATGTAATATCTTTATTTCTACAAGTACATGGTATACAGACCATAGCTGACAGTGAAATGCTACTATATAGAAAGTCCCGTGTTATGCAGAGCATTTTGGGCAAATTAGGCGAGTTTTGTTCCAGGATGCGACCCACACCAGTCGACTAACACTCGGGTACCCATTTTATACTGATGGGTGAACATGGACAGCAGGTGTCTTAGGGAAATACGTCCTAATGTTTTCCATCTGTACTGGGGTTTCGATCTCCAGACCTCAGTGTGTGAGCTGAGTGTGCTAGCGATTGAGCTAAGGCTTGTAACCCCTCCTGCTGTATGACCCTTGTGGGTTTAGTGTTTGGTTATTATTATAATTACATAATCGAGCCCCACCCATACCATAGTTTAAAGTGACTTATAGTATAAATGTTGGTAATAAATACTGACAAGAAGTGATCAAGGTCCCAGGATCGAAACGTTTTCTAATGTGTCTTAGTGTTTCCTTGTGTGTTTTTTCTAAACCAAAGTGACTTATCTCCATTCAAAAACACCTGGCATTACTCTTTATATCTGCCAGAAATGCACCACATGCTAGTAACTTTCTTTTATGATTAACAGTAATTTATTACATATAAACTATTACCTGTATAGTGCATAAATAAATAAATTTGTATTGTACAATACACTCTCGATAAACCTGGTGAAGGAAATGTAGCCACAATTACAGTTAATTAGTTGCACGTGTCCATTGAGCTAACATTTTCTTGGTAGTCTTGCCAGTAATTAATTGTAACGCAAAAAAGCCAGTGGCTTATTTCTGTCGGGGCTCTTTGGACTTTTCCAAGCCTACGACCTACAAGGATAACTCGGTGAAGTCAAACTGTGCGACTTGCTTATATGTGTAATGGCATTTTATTTAGGTACTATTCATGAGGAGGCAATGTTATACAGGTGTTTTTTAGTATAAGAATTGATAAAAGTTTGACCCTAGGCACATTGTGGCCAGTAGCAGACGTGGCGGCCAAGCAGCATGTGTGTACTTATTCTATGTGGGTTTAATGAGTCTCTGAAAGTAAATTTGGACATAATTTCATGAGCCACATTAATTAATCGAACAAGCTGCATTTCAGTCAGGCATGGCACATTGGCATGTGTACCTACTTTAGATATGCGCATGTACATAATTAACATTTTTTATTTTAGAATTTTGTGATGCCCAAATTCAGATGCTTGCCATGTTTTTTAAATAATTTTTTTGTGAACATTATTGGATTAACAAAAAATGGTAATGGAATTATATAGGCCCTTTTATTATAGGGCTATTTTATGGTCACTGTGCAAGCATTTTGTGATAGTGTTGGTTTTAGCTGGATAAGTATTGTTCAATCCCCGTGTTGTTAGTGAAGAATTCTTGATCTGAAGAATTGCACCCCTCCTCTCCTTTCTTGGATTGAATCTTGATTGCCTCCCATTCCCCAGGTTGTGTATAACCCCTGTGGGGTTTGCACTATGCCCTAAATATTATAATAAATGTTATCCCATAGGAATGAATACCATGATACTATATTATGTTAATTCTTAATTGTTGGCCATTAAGATTATTGTTTGCATTCTGATTTATAAAGAAATTATGAATTACTTGCATTATTACAAATATGTACATTGTTTTTTGTCTGCACTCTGAAGGAGGGATGATGTGTTGCAGTTTTTTTTAACTGTAGTACATATCAGCATGCCTCTGGCAAGACGGTGAATGACGGAGTGAGTGATGATGAAAATGTTTTTCCTGTTTTTGGGCGACCCTGCCTTGGTGGGAAATGGCCCATGTGTTAATAAAAAAAAAATGATTTGCGAATAGCGATAGTATTTTTGGTAATTAATGTAATCCCTATTTTGACAGATGTCTCTTGAGAGGCTGGAACTCGATGTTGCACTGAAGCTGGCGTTTGTGCAGAACTCTCTCACCAAAGTGGAAGAATATCGCCAGCACCTCCAGGAAAATGCCCAAAAAGTAATTTAAAACTGTATATTTTATTGCAATCAAAAGTTTCACCATGTTGTACGTTATAGAACACGTTATTGGTCAATTTAAATATATTACACTGTTGAGAATGGGGATAAAAATGTGTGTTTTCACACATTTACACATCAGTAATCTATTTTTTTGTTTTTTTTTCATATTAATACAGAATTCCAATGTATTCTCTCCAAGTGTTTGCCACATATAATCGGTGAAGGGCTGTTGATTCTAGAAGTTTGATCTGCTTTCTTCCTTGGGTCACACCTGAATGCCTCCCATTCCCCAGGCACTGTATAACCCCTACAGATTTAGTGCTGACATAAGTGTAATAATACGTATTCCTTGGCACTTCTTTTGAAAGGTTGTTTTGTTGCCTTGGTGCAGATTTTACCAAGCTGTGCACATGCATAAAACTGTACAGTTGTTCATAATAGTTTTTTCTTTCTTGACTTGCTCTTGATGTTCAGAAAATCACTTAGTTTTTTGTTTTATACCACGTTGCCAAACTATACAACTTTCTAAATGCACCAATACTTGGGGGTACCATATTTTACACTATGACTCCCACTTCTTAGGAGTAATTTCAGTGTGCAGTTCTGGAATTAGTCCCTCATTCTAGGTGCAGTTTTATAACTGTAGTGTAAGTGCACCTCTGGCAAGACAGTGATGGAGTGAATGATGGTGTAGTTTTTTTTTTTTTTTTTTTTTTTTTTTTGGCCACCCTACCTTGGTGGGAAATGACCAGTGTGTTAATAATAAAAAGAAAGATAATAAAATATGTTTAAGCTTTGCATTTTATGGATTACAATTTGAGGGATTTTGTAAGTCTCCCAATACTGTTCATCAGTAGCCCCCCAACCTTTTAGCATGAAAGGGCCAGTTTGCAGAGCCAAGTTTAAAGGATGGCTTCAGTTTCCAGTTTTCTTTTTTTATCCATGTAATTATGTACACCAGAAGTGAAAGGTGGTTGTTAGAGATGGCAATAAGGTTTTGGTGTTATAAATGACATTAAATATTTTGTACTTGTTGACACTGCGCAGTGTGGAGCCTTCGTAAAAGTGAATTCATGATTTCACGGCGAGGGCCGCATTCATATTCTTGAAGGGCCATATGCAGCCCTTGGGCTGCATGCTGGGGACCTGTGCTGTACAGTGTTAGAAATTTTACTGAATACAGACAGAAGTTGTTATACAGTACATCTACCATGTTTGCAGTTTTGTATAATCACACGTGACCTCACGCAGTGTGGATCTGTTAGCAGAGAATTTTTCAATGAGCCTTTTTATTAATAGGGCCCAGATCAGCATATTCAGTACTGTACTGTATTTGAGTGTTATTGAAATTTTTTCCCTTTTATGTCCTAATTTGCTTGTTCTGTATTTAGCCTCCCTTGTGTCTCAGTATAAAACTCTTGGAGCAGCCTGAAGGGGACTGTTAAATTGCTTTTATATTCCATGTGAATTTTAAACAAATGTGAGAATGTTGTTTCCTAGGAATACAAGAATTGATTGATTATAGATAAAATTCACTTCAGACTTGTTGCCATGAAGATAAAATGATAAGACAATTTATTGATTAAAAATTGCTTTTAGGTAGATATCCTTCTGTATTTTCTTTATTTTGTAACAAATTGACATACATATGAAATCAGTTTAAAGTTGGAGAGCGAAGCTATTGATTTGTACATTGCCAGCTTTGAATACTTTAATTAGGATATATTATGATTTTACTTTTGTAATATTTTTTCAAGGAAATTTGCTAGTGATCAAGTAATGTTGACTTGCATACTTTGATGAGTTGCCTTGTTAATCAGAGATGTCTAATTTTCAGTTTCCAAATACAGCTATCTATTGCTTTTTTTTTTTTTTTTTTTTTGTAGTTGATCATTTATAACAACTTTGATACTTTTAATATAATATTGTTGTAAAATATGAGCTAAGCTTTGCTTATGAAATTTAAGTGTATTAATGTCAGTAGAATTACCGACAATGTTGGGTAAAAGGACACGATGAAATTTAAAAGTGCTGATGTGATTGCAGTAAAGGATGAAATCCACGAGAAGTGGAACGTCACATTGGGAGCATTGAGAGGAAGGGAGCGACAGTTGGTACGGCAAGTGGAGGTGAGTTGAATATTTTGGGGTTGGGAAGGGGGGGGATCCTTGAAAATTTGGTATATTAGCTCATTAATAGATTACTGACATTATGCCAGGTGACAGTTTGTTCCCTGGAAAGGCTGTAGAAAAAGTTAATTTAACCTTAGGTATACAGTAGTAAATGGAAAAACTACTCTCACTGACACTATTAACTGTCACATTGTATGTGCGGTATTAAATTTCATTGGACAGTTTCTGATCGGTGGGTAAAGTGACAGTGTATATTTTCAAGGAAGATTACATAACTACTTTGGAGCTCTTGATTCAAGGAATAGGAATGGACTTTCCTTTCTGTGGAGTGAACCTGATTGCATCCCATTCCATAGGTGCTGCATGACCACTATGGGTTTAGCACTCCCTATTAATGTAACTATTAATAAAATAATGGGAATATTTTGTATTAATGTTAGTTACACTATAATTTTAAATGCTTTTCTCAAATTATTTTTAACATTTCAGGTTGTTACAGCTCATCAGACTTGCCTGCTGGGAACTCAGCAAGCTGGGTTAATGCATGGTAAAGGAGCTCTCCTGGCTACACGAGATCTTCTCCTGCGTTGCACTCAGGCTGATACTAGCACCCTTGAGAAGATTAAAGTGGATGATATGGATTGGTAAGTTGAGCAGTGTATGTGGGTTAAGGCTAATTTTGGGGAAGGGTCTGTTTCTCATCAAGATAATTGACTCAGAGAAAGAAACCCATTTCTCTAGTTGACATTGCTAAAGTGTGTAATTACTGGAATGTGTTGTTGATTCACATAGGGTAGACAACCTCCCATACATTTTAGAATGCAAGCACTGTACTTGTCCACAAAACTGGCTAGTCAAGTTTCCAGAATTCTTTCTTCACATTACAAATCATGTGAAATATCCATACATAACTGCCATCATTCACAGTGGTAGTGTGAGCAATGGTTGCCCTACCTTGGTAGGAGACTGCTAGTGTGTTTAAAAAAAAAAAAAGCCTGCTGAATGTGAAAGCACTAAGGTCTCAACTCCTTTCTCATCCTTTGTTTCTGACCTTTTTTGGGCACCATTTATAATTTTTCATTCCAGTGAATTTCAGTATTTTCATTAACCCTCTCCCCCCCAACATCAGTCTTCTCCCACCTTAAAACAAAAAATTATGAAGTTTTCTCTTTTACATTTAGTAATTTATACAGGAGAGTGTCGTCAGTTGCATGCTTTCGGATTTAAGTAGTTGTCAAATTTTCTGCATTATTTTTACACTTCCATACATGTTTTGGACGAGCTTTTCATTGCCTCCAGTGATATTCTTGTCAGCAGTTAGTGTTCTTCACACGTATTCAAGTTTTTGGCATTACTATTGAATGCATTGCCACTCCTGACATACCTGTGAACAGTTTCGAGGGTTTGTATTCTTTGTCAGTCTGGCTTGAGGCCAGGTTTCCATGTTGACTGTTTAGTCTAGGTTGTTTCTGCTAGCAGCTTACAGGCATACATAGACATTACAACCTGGCTGATCTGGCACCATTTTTGCATCAATTTACATACTGTACCTCTTTCCACAGACGCATACATGTACACTTTTTTTTTTTTCCAGTTTCCCTTTCTTTGTTACTCTGTAATCTACCTTATCCTTCTTGGATTAATCAGCTGATATATTTCCCCCAAAGAGGGGGGGAAAAGGGGGGGGTATTCTGTTATGTATTGCCTTTTTTCAATAAAAACTTTTTTTTGGATATTTCTTTGCTTTCTAGATTCTTTCTTTTATTTAATTCATTTTCCCCATCACACTTATAATTAGCTGCTGCCCAACACTTTACCGGGAGTATTAACAGAATTATGACCTTAAAATTCTGGGTATTTTTTTTTTTATCCTTACGTACAAAGAACCACACTCATTTTTTGACTCCTTAGTCTCCGTCCCTTTTTGGGCCCTTTTTTTTTTTTTCTTCTTCTTCTTCCCCCCAACCCCCCATTGAAACACTAAGGAAAGGGTCCCCCAAAAAAGAGGAAACACATTCACCATCATTAACTTTCCAAAAAGTATGTCTGTTAAGATTCATACTTTTTTCACCCTTTTTCGGGGTCTCTTTGAAAGCACTTATTTTCTAGAACTTGTGATCCTCATGTCAACTTCTTTTTTAATATAAAACTTCAGTTTTTTTTTGTTTTTTTCATTTATGGCTTGGTTTGTGAGGCTTGTAAAATTTTTTGAAAAACATTTGCTCAAGAAATTATTATTATTTTGTGTATCACGCGGGCTGCCCTCCCACCAAGGGGGGGTGAACAAAATAGACTAGTTTTTTTCTTTTAAAATTTAGTAATTTAAAAACAAAAGGGGTTTTTACTAGCCTTTTGCTCCTGGCATTTTATTGCTTCTTACGACATACAACTTATGGAGGAAGATCTTTACCACTTCCCCACGGAGATTTTATAAAAGTACTGGGGCCCTGCTTTACAGCATTTTGCTAATGCACAGTTTTTTAGTTAAACCCATTCTATATTTCCTTTAGATTCCCACAATAAATATATTAATTTTTTTTTTTTTGTTTTTGGGGGCCCTTTTTCACCACATTAATTGCACATAGTGGGGGATTCTTCTAAAATGTGGATTTGGTGGTCAGCAGCTTATTGTATTGGAGGTGAGGATTCCATTCTTATATTCTTTTGTAATGTGAATAACAACTTACAGCTTGAAGGATGTTGTACCTGTGAAGCGTGTGGCAGTACAGTTGGACGAGACTGCACTCTGCTCTGCTATTTCGGAATTTGGTTCTGTCCAGCTGCCAGATGCTATCACTCACCACCCATCACCTGTCATCCCAGCAAAGTAAGTTCCCTATTTTTGTCAGATATATCCATGTTGTGGCTTTCAAGAAAAATACTTTGTGGATGCTGCTTGGCATTGGATGACAGCAGGGGCATTGTGGTTGTGGCAAGTTTGCATGTACTGTATACTCTTTTGAGTTTGGAACCTCATGTAGGGTTGTCAAGTATTTCTGGAGAGTTGCTAACTTAGAATTGAATAACGGTGCATATGTTTTGATAGCACTATATTTTTACATACAGTATTTAGATGCATACAATGAAATGGAGCAGTGGTTTTGGTAATTTGTACAGGAGAAGGGGTTACCAGCCCCTTGCTCCTGGCATTTTAGTTGCCTCTTACAACATGCATGGCTTACGGAGGAATTCTTTTCCACTTCACTATGGAGACGAGAGGAAATAAACACGAACAAGAACTATTAAGAAAATAGAAGAAAACCCAGATGGATGGATGTGTGTGGGTGATTGTGTGTGCCTGTATGTGCATGTGTAGTGTGACCTAAGTAAGTAGAAGTAGCAAGATATATCTGTTATCCTGCGTGTTTATGAAAGAGAGAAGACACCAACAACCCTACCATCATGTAAAGCAATTGCAGGTTTCTGCTTTACACATATTTGGCAGGACAGAAGTATCTCCCTGGGTGGTTGCTATCTACTAACCTACTACTTGGGAATTTGTCAAATATCATTGCAAAATCTGTGTAGACCACATCTGTGTTTTGGTTATCTTCCAATGTCAGTGATGTAATGATCTGATATTTGTGACAGGCATGATTTTCCTTCTCTAAATCCATGGAGAATCTGACCCAGATGCTGCATGCCTGAACATGTGATCTGCCTCTAAAGTTAGGAGTGGAATAAAAAAAAATTTGTCATTACTTTATTATACCATAGGAGGAAAATTGGTTAATAATTTATCCCTGCAATCCTTGTGGAGATTGTAATTCATACAGTAATTTATAAAACTTTTAATATCTTAAATTAACTTTCTTATTCTATGTCATACTTGTGAATACAGTGGTACGCCAAGTTTCGTACAGCTCCCAACTCGAACAATTATGTAAGTGTATTATTGTAAGTCCTTTTGTAAGTGTATTTTTGGGGGTCTGAAACGGACTAATCTAATTTATACATTATTCCTTTAGGGAACAAATTTATTTGGTAACGGCATTCAAACAGCTTTCTGGAATGAATTATTGCTGAAACTCGGGCTACCACTGTATTATTGTGGCTTGTGCAAGTAGGAGGGCTCTGCTGTGCAGAGATGATGTATAAATCATTCTTCCTTTTTTATTTTCCGTGATATTTTGTATTTTGGATATGGTGTAATAGACTAGAAATCTGGTAATAAGTTTCTTGATCATTGGAACATGTTCAATCTATTTACATTTATTGTACATTGGGAAAACAAGCTGTATACATCTCTGATTCATCCTAATTGAGATGTATTATATCTTGTTTACTGAATATCTTTATTTTCTAAATGCAAAATTAATGGATCAGGTGTGTGTACTTGGTGATATATTGACAGTGCAGCTCAAGTTGGAGGTTGTGTGTGCAATGGGCTTGGACATCCAGCAGGCATGAGTGAGTGTGTGTGTGTGTGTGTGTACTCACCTAGTTGAGGTTGCAGGGGTCGAGTCCAAGCTCCTGGCCCCGCCTCTTCACTTGTCGCTACTAGGTCACTCTCCCTGACCATGAGCTTTATCGTACCTCTGCTTAAAGCTATGTATGGATCCTGACTCCACTACATCGCTTCCCAAACTATTCCACTTCCTGACTACTCTGTGGCTGAAGAAATACTTCCTAACATCCCTTTGATTCATATGTGTCTTCAACTTCCAACTGTGTCCCCTTGTTACTGTGTCCAGTCTCTGGAACATCCTGTCTTTGTCCACCTTGTCAATTCCTCTCAGTATTTTGTAAGTCGTTATCATGTCCCCCCTATCTCTCCTGTCCTCCAGTGTCGTCAGGTTGATTTCCCTTAACCTCTCCACATAGGACATACCTCTTAGCTCTGGGACTAGTCTTGTTGCAAACCTTTGCACTTTCTCTAGTTTCTTTACATGCTTGGCTAGGTGTGGGTTCCAAACTGGTGCCGCATACTCCAATATGGGCCTAACGTACACGGTGTACAGGGTCCTGAAGGACCCTGTATGTGTGTGTGTGTGTGTGTACTCGCCTAATTGTAGTTGCAGGGGTCGAGACTCAGCTCCTGGCCCCGCCTCTTCACTGATCGCTACTGGGTCCTCTCTCTCTCTCTGCTTCGTGAGCTTTGTCATACCTCTTCTTAAAACTATGTATGGTTCCTGCCTCCACTACTTCACTTGCTAGGCTATTCCACTTGCTGACAACTCTGACTGAAGAAATACTTCCTAACGTCCCTGTGACTCGTCTGAGTCTTCAGCTTTCAGTTGTGACCCCTTGTCCCTGTGTCCCCTCTCTGGAACATCCTATCTCTGTCCACCTTGTCTATTCCCTGCAGTATCTTGTAAGTCATTATCATGTCTCCCCTGACCCTTCTCTCCTCCAGTGTCGTCAGTCCGATTTCCCTTAACCTTTCCTCGTACGACATTCCCTTGAGCTCTGGTACTAGCCTTGTTGCAAACCTTTGTACTTTCTCTAACTTCCTGACGTGCTTGACCAGGTGTGGGTTCCAGACTGGCGCTGCATACTCCAGTATGGGCCTAACATACACAGTGTACAGTGTCTTGAACGATTCCTTTTTAAGGTATTGGAACGCTATTCTCAGGTTTGCCAGGCGCCCGTATGCTGCAGCGGTTATTTGGTTGATGTGTGCCTCCGGTGATGTGCTCTGTGTTATGGTCACCCCAAGGTCTTTCTCCCTGAGTGAGGTCTGTAGTCTTTGTCCACCTAGCCTATACTCTGTCTGCGGTCTTCTTTGCCCCTCCCCAATCTTCATGACTTTGCATTTGGCTGGATTGAATTCGAGAAGCCAGTTACTGGACCACATGTCCAGCCTGTCCAGGTCTCTGCAGTCCTGCCTCATCCTCGTCCGATTTAATTCTTCTCATCAACTTCACATCATCTGCGAACAGGGACACTTCAGAGTCTATTCCTTCCATCATGTCGTTCACATATATCAAACATAGCACTGGTCCTAGAACTGACCCCTGTGGGACCCCGCTCGTAACAGGCGCCCACTGTGATACCTCTTCACGTACCATGACTCGTTGCTGCCTCCCTGTCAGGTATTCCCTTATCCATTGCAGTGCCCTCCCTTTTACATGCACCTGATCCTCCAGCTTCTGCACTAATCTCTTGTGGGGAACTGTGTCAAAGGCCTTCCTGCAGTCTAGGAAAACGCAATCTACCCACCCCTCTCTCTCGTCTTACTTCTGTTACCTTGTCATAAAACTCCAGGAGGTTTGTGATACAAGATTTGCCTTCCATGAACCCATACTGGTTTTCATTTATAATCTTGTTCCTTTCCAGGTGTTCGACCACTCTCCTCCTGATAATCTTCTCCATGACTTTGCACACAATACATGTCAGAGACACAGGTCTGTAGTTTAGTGCCTCGTTTCTGTTTCCTTTCTTAAATATGGGGACTACATTAGCTGTCTTCCATTTCTCAGGTAGTTGCCCAGTTTCAAGGGATGTGTTGAAGATTGTGGTTAGAGGCACGCACAGCATCTCTGCTCCTTCTCTAAGGACCCATGGGGAGATGTTGTCCGGTCCCATCGCCTTTGAGGTGTCAAGGTCACTTAAGAGCTTCTTCACCTCCTCCTCAGTTGTTCGTATGTCATCCAACACTCGTTGGTATATTCCCTCTTGATATTCCCTTCTGTGCTGTCACCCCCTCCTCAATTGTTCGTATGTCATCCAACACTTGTTGGTATATTCCCTCTTGATGTTCCCTTCTGTGCTGTCTTCCCACAGCCCTTCCTGTCTCTACTGTAAAAACTTCCTTTAATCTCCTGTTCAGCTCCTCACATACCTCCTGATCATTTCTTGTGAGTTCTCCACCTTCTATCCTTAATCTGATCACCTGGTCTTTGATTGTTGTCTTCCTCCTGATGTGGCTATACAACAGTTTCGGGTCAGTCTTGATTCTTGATGCTATGTCATTTTCATACTCTCGCTGGGCCTCCCTCCTTACGTGTGCGTACTCATTCCTGGCTCTGCGACTGATCTCTCTATTTTCGTGTGTTCTCTGCCTTCTGTACTTTTTCCATTCTCTATTGCACTTTGTTTTTGCCTCCTTACACCGTCGGGTAAACCAGGGGCTCGTTCTGGTCTTCCCGTTGTTACTGTTGCCCTTGGGAATAAACCTTTCCACTGCCTCCTTGCATTTTGTTGTTACATATTCCATCATTTCATTTACTGGTTGTGAAGGGATTCAGGGAAACTGGTTAGCTGGATTTGAGTCCTAGAGATGGGAAGTACAATGCCTGCACTTTAAGGGAGGCATTAGAGATATTAACTGTTTTGAGGGACGTCTGAACTGTTGTATCTGCACACCTCTGGCACGACAGTGATAGTGTGAATGGTGGTGAAAGTGATTCTTTTCTCGGGTCACCCTGCCTCAATTGGAGACAGCCATCGTGTTTCTTCTTTCAACGTACCGGCCGTATCCCACCGAGGTGTGGTGGCCGAAAAGGGAAAACAAAAGTTTCTCCTTTTACATTTAGTAATATATACAGGAGAAGGGGTTACTAATCACTTGCTCCTGGCATTTTAGTCGCCTCTTACAACACGCATGGCTTACGGAGGAAGAATTCTGTTCCACTTCCCCATGGAGGTAAGAGGAAATAAACAAGAATTAGAAAGAAAATAGAAGAAAACTGAGAGGGGTGTGTATATGTATGCCTGTACGTGTTCGTGTAATGTGACCTAAGTGTAAGTAGAAGTAACAAGACGTACCTGAAATCTTGCATGTGTATGAGACAAAAAAAAAAAGACACCAACAATCCTACCATCGTGAAAAACAGTTACAGGCTTCCGTTTTACACTCGCTTGGCAGGACGGTAGTACCTCCCTGGGTGGTTGCTGTCTATCAACCTACTACCTAGTAGCCATCATGTTTAAAAATGAAGAATTAGATGCAAAGTTTAGGTTAGTAAGATTCTGTAATAATTGTGCTTTTTCAGAGTTGAGGAATATGAAGATGATGAACATGATGTGTTGCACAAGAGTGTTGCTGGAGCAGCTTCTGGGCCAGACACACCTGTGCGCATCACTGTCCAGTTCCCTCGTCTGTCAAATCAAAATTGGCTTGCTCAACAGAAGGAACAAAATTTCAGTTCAGCTGACTCCTCAAAGGTATATATTTTGTGTGCATATTTAATTAAACTTCCATTGAACACAAAACGTCGTTGTGTTCATCTACAAAGCTAAAAAAAAAAAAAAAAAAAAAAGTCATAGGTAGTACATTATCTTATTGTTAAGTGAAGACTTAAAAAAATATTCTGCTAAGATAAATGCAGAAATAAAACCTATACATTCTTGTTGTATTTATGAATAAGGGGCTTCATAGTTGTGCAAGCTAGTAGGTATTTATTCCCTCTCCCTCCTATTTTATCCTTTGGTATTACTTTACTGTTTTAGTTCTTAGCCCTTTGATACCAAGTAGTATTCATAAACCATTAAATAAATTTACTTATCAACTCGGCAGCAGACTTTTCTCATATAATTAGGTAGTGGGCATGAAAAGATATTCTGTTTTCCTTATTTATAAAATTAATGGATTAGCTGCTAATGAATTCTTGGTCATTTCTTTTAAATGTTTGTTTGAACAGTATTTAGATAAGGCTAAAGAGGTCTTTGTGGCATTTATGGATTGGGAAAAGGCGTATGACAGGGTGGATAGGGGGGCAATGTGGCAGATGTTGCAAGTGTATGGTGTAGGAGGTAGGTTACTGAAAGCAGTGAAGAGTTTTTACGAGGATAGTGAGGCTCAAGTTAGAGTATGTAGGAAAGAGGGAAATTTTTTCCCAGTAAAAGTAGGCCTTAGACAAGGATGTGTGATGTCACCGTGGTTGTTTAATATATTTATAGATGGGGTTGTAAGAGAAGTAAATGCGAGGGTCTTGGCAAGAGGCGTGGAGTTAAAAGATAAAGAATCACACACAAAGTGGGAGTTGTCACAGCTGCTCTTTGCTGATGACACTGTGCTCTTGGGAGATTCTGAAGAGAAGCTGCAGAGATTGGTGGATGAATTTGGTAGGGTGTGCAAAGGAAGAAAATTAAAGGTGAATACAGGAAAGAGTAAGGTTATGAGGATAACAAAAAGATTAGGTGATGAAAGATTGGATATCAGATTGGAGGGAGAGAGTATGGAGGAGGTGAACGTATTCTAGATATTTGGGAGTGGACGTGTCAGCGGATGGGTTTATGAAAGATGAGGTGAATCATAGAATTGATGAGGGAAAAAGAGTGAGTGGTGCACTTAGGAGTCTGTGGAGACAAAGAACTTTGTCCTTGGAGGCAAAGAGGGGAATGTATGAGAATATAGTTTTACCAACGCTCTTATATGGGTGTGAAGCGTGGGTGATGAATGTTGCAGCGAGGAGAAGGCTGGAGGCAGTGGAGATGTCATGTCTGAGGGCAATGTGTGGTGTGAAATAATGCAGAGAATTCGTAGTTTGGAAGTTAGGAGGAGGTGCGGGATTACCAAAACTGTTGTCCAGAGGGCTGAGGAAGGGTTGTTGAGGTGGTTCGGACATGTAGAGGAATGGAGCGAAACAGAATGACTTCAAGAGTGTATCAGTCTGTAGTGGAAGGAAGGCGGGGTAGGGGTCGGCCTAGGAAAGGTTGGAGGGAGGGGTTAAAGGAGGTTTTGTGTGCGAGGGGCTTGGACTTCCAGCAGGCATGCGTGAGCGTGTTTGATAGGAGTGAATGGAGACAAATGGTTTTTAATACTTGACGTGCTGTTGGAGTGTGAGCAAAGTAACATTTATGAAGGGGTTCAGGGAAACCGGCAGGCCGGACTTGAGTCCTGGAGATGGGAAGTACAGTGCCTGCACTCTGAAGGAGGGGTGTTAATGTTGCAGTTTAAAAACTGTAGTGTAAAGCACCCTTCTGGCAAGACAGTGATGGAGTGAATGATGGTGAAAGTTTTTCTTTTTCGGGCCACCCTGCCTTGGTGGGAATCGGCCAGTGTGATGATAATAAATAAATTGACATACTCTGTACAATGTGTTACAATCTTTACAGGATTCTAGTGTTGGTGCACAAAGCAAGTCTCGTGATATTACTTCTTGGCTGAGTAGCCTCCAGCTTGCTGGTGCTCAGGAAGATTACGATGCTGTTGCTCCAGCACATAGCAGCATTAGCAGCTATGACATGTTAGCTGTCAACAGTCCTGTTCACACCTCAGAAAGCTCCAGCATTGAAATTGTCTCAAGCCATTATGGTACTGAAAAGGTAAGATTGCTTAGGTTAGAGATCTAATGTAAAAATTTGAATATATTTGTAGATCCTGGTATGTGAGATCGAGCCTTTGTTGCTATTGTGTGCATCTATATGTTTGCTTATGGAAACTGACAGGCTTTAAAGTAACAGTTCATGTGACTGCTTAATGTTTGAGTATGTAACTCTTCAGAAGAGAGATGTAATGCTTACGTATCTTAGTTTCATTTTCATACAGAATCATGCCTAGTCAAGGTTAGCTATTTCTGTGGTAACTTGAGAATGCCTCTGTTTTGACTTGATACTATACCTTTAAATGTTAACAACACTATCACACACATGGCTCCAAGGTTCATAAGTGTTTGATTATGACTAGTTAGCTCATTGCTTCACAAGCTACAGACCCTTATGGTTTTAGTACTTAGTTAGGATGATAATCCACAACCTACATGATCAGGCCTCTCACAACCCCCTCCATTTATTTTATTTGTTACTTCTCAAAATCTGGGGAAAAGGGATTCCAGTTAAAATGTCCAGCACCTTTATTATTTATTGAGAGTAGACATTTCTTAATAAAAATAATTTGTGCAATTCTTTTGAGATTTGATACATGGCTATAGGGGTTATTGGCATCTGAAGATACCTTTTTCTTTTACAAAGGGATAATTTAGCAGTTGTAGTTTATCAGTTTTACACCTATATTGATTTAGTTTTATTGATGTAGCTGCACCACTTCATTTTTTTCTTGGTATTTTGCTGTACACATGAGATTCAGCAATAGGCATCAGATTTGTTAAATTAGGTTTTCTTTCTTTTACAGGATAACTGCAGTTCACCAGTCTCTGGAATGTACGAGATAGAAAACCTTCACATGTGTGTGGGTGGTAACCAGTCTCGGTGGCTTAGTGACAAGCAGACTCATTCTGAGGATTCTCTCTTACACAAGATTGATATTCCATCCGTATGCAGAGCAAACGAGACCTGTTCTTCATTTAATGATTGCTTATGTCAGAATAAATGCATTGAAACTGCAGTGGAGAAGCTACAGCAGTCTGCTCTCTTCAAAATGAAGACTAATCGCAAGAGGACACTATCAGAGTCTGAGCATAGTACATGTAGTTCCATACTTACTCACATGACAAACATATTTAATTCTGAAAATGCTTTGTGGCTGTTGCAGAAGCAGGACTCTGTTCTGCCAGTACCTATAAAGCGTGCAATGTATGAAGTTCCAGGAAGCAAGTGGCTAAGACTGGAGTCCAGGACTCCAGTAACCCAAACTCCACGAATTCAACTTGCCACACATTCCAACATCTGGCTTCTTCATAAGCTCAAAAGTCAGAAAGATAATGAAAAAGATATTATGGATGTAGAGAAATGTAACACTGAAAAGGATGTGGAGAACAATAATGAAAAGGAAGATAGAATAACGACTGAAGCTTTGTCAGAGGCTCTAAAGAAGATAACTGTAGACTCAAACATTGAATCTCAAGGTAGGAGTTCAACTTTCAGAAACATGTCCTCCACAAGTACGGTAAGCGGATACTCTCCCAGTGGGCAGTCTTGGCTGTTATCAAAAAAGCATGTTAGCAATCTACAAATTCAAGACAAAATAGAAGAGATGAGAGCCTCTAACAAAAAGCAATGGTTGAGTTACTCGCCAGGTAAAAGCCCAGTAATAAAAAAGAGTGGAACCCCAAGTCTACCCCATTTACCAGAAGCTGTGATGTCAGTGGCACATGCTGGAATCAAGAGCTGGCTATTGAAAAATATTTCTTAAAGATGTTTATAGGATAGACTGATGACATTTGTTTTATTTTTGTGATTTTTTTTTTTTAAGTTCTCACTAATGTTATCCACTTTGAAAAAATAGTTCTTGGCACAGTGTGAGCTATGAAGTAATGCTTGAAGCCTTATATTGGAATAAGTACAGTGTATATGATTTCGGTATTGAAAAGAAAATTGAACATTTAAATGTAAATATAATAAATTTAACATTATTAGAATACTTACAGGATATATTTCAATAAATAATATTTTAGATTAACTTGCTAGTATTCTCATGATGCTGTCATAAGAACCTGGTATATAATAGCAACATGCTGTGGTTAGACATGCGAGCAAACGCCGTGGACTCTTTATGGAAATGTTTCGGCCCTGGGACCTAGTTCATGCCAAAACATTTTCAAGATGAAATGTCTTAAGTGTTGGCTGATGTCATGACAGTCCTCTGACTTGCCGTCTACTACAGTGTTTCGCTAAGTCGTGTATGGGTGCTAGTGTATAAATCATTGTGACTCCTTGCCAGGAAGCCAATCACGTACTTTGACGCTCCCAAGAACAATGGTGCGTTCCTAAGAGGTATGATTAGGGAAAACAATTTTAAGTCGAGTCACTGTAAGTAGGACCAAGCGTGAGCAGCAATGTAGACTCCTATTTATACTTTTAACTTGCAATTAGTACTACACATTATGATAAACATATATAAAGGGTTGATGCTTAAATTAATAAGCCTGTATTATTGGAATATTACATGCATTTTTGTTTCTTGCTAGGGTCATGTTGAAGTTAAGGTTAGGATGTAGCTTTAAAAGTATTTGCAGTTACAAAATTTATATCTTGCCATTCACTGGCTTAAAGTACTGATGAACTGTTTTTAAACTTGCATGCATTAGTCTTGCACAGCCTAGAATGTAGAATGGATGTACCAGTTCTTAAATCATGTGACTTGACAGTGGCCTAAGACAGACCAAAAAAAATCTCATAATTCTCTTTTTTGTTTTTCTATTTGTGAATTACGTGTTGCAGTCTGTTAGTCACTACGTGTTTAAAAATTCACAAATTTCTGTGGTACAGTGAATGGTAAGGTATGTACAGTATATACATATATATTGTAATAAAGTTGGTAGAATTACCGACAATATGTAAAGTAAAAGGACACAAGTGCAACTAATGTGACATTTATTGTGGCAACGTTTCGCTCTCCAGGAGCTTTATCAAACCATGGCTTGATAAAGCTCCTGGAGAGCGAAACGTTGCCACAATAAATGTCACATTAGTTGCACTTGTATCCTTTTACTTTATACATATATATTGCTTAAATTGGTATTTATGATAGATCTTTTATTTTCAAATCTCCAGAGGTGTATCAAAATCTGGTTTACAGGCGCCTTGTGTCGAATGGGGCACAGATGCCAGATATTTTTGAGCACATTATATCTGCATCAGTGTATGCAATCAATATGTGTAGTGCAATGTTGATGTGATAATGTCAAAACATTAAACAATATTTGAAATTGCATTTGTTTTCTTGACATCGAAATTACACTTTACTGGATATAGTAAATTGTTCCATTAATTTGGATTTTGCACTAATTTATTTAACATACTAATTTCCTCTTAACAATTTTATTAACCTTTAATAGGATGATGCCTTGATGCGGTGAAGAGATCTTAAGGAATTTAAGCCTTTTGAAGTGGGTTTTGTTGCTGTTATGAAGGTGCTCTTTATCATATCAAAGGAATTGAATTTCTTGTTCCTTGTCTTGGATTGAATCTAATTGCCCTCTAATTACCCCTCCCTCCATTTAGTCTAATTTGTGAAAAAAAAAAAAAAAACTCCAATGATGAACTGACATTTTAAGGTATGACAGGTGACCCTCTAGTCATCTGTCTCTGGGTGGTTAACAGGCTGAACGTCTGACAACAGAAGTATTGCCAGAGGTTGCCTGGAGATTTCAGCAGCAGCAACTGAAGGTCTGACTAACCCTTCATGGTGCCTTCTTGCTAGTGAGTAACTTTGATTCAATGGATTTGACCTCTCTCTCTTCCTTGGATTGGGCCAGATTACCTTCTATTTTCCCAGGCACTTTACCTAGAGGGTGTTCCAGGTGTCAACTTCCCTTCGGCCCAGTCTGTGATCAGGCCTCGTTCGATCCCTGTGGGCATAGTCTTCACCACATTCATCATGAATGTAAAGATGGACTAATTTGCCTCGGTTCTTCCCAAAAGTTATCTGGTCATCTTTATACATAGGTGATTTTGTTATTGCTTGTGTAAGCATGGATTGTTAGTTAATACCGACCACTCCAATATGCTACTTATTGCTCAGCCAACTGGGACACATCTTATGGTTTCACGTAAGTTGTTGCAAGAACAAGCTATAACTTTAATGGAATGACCTGTCAAGCCCATAACCTAATTTAAACTCAGCAAAAAGGCACAATACCCTAACTGGAACAATACACAACCCACACGTATGAGAAAGAAACTTGTGGCAATGTTCTGGTCCGCCTTGGACAGACTTGCTGTATAGCCCTTGTGGCTTAGCGCTTCTTTTTGATAATAACTTGGACAGACTTGGTCCGACTAGTTGATGGTCTAAGTCGGACCGTAATGTTGTAATAAGTTTTTCTCATTTGTGCAGGTTACTTGTGTGTTTTATACCTGTATTTTCCTGTCTGAATTTGTAGGCTTTGTCAAATGTCATGGTAGTTTCTTAGTTTCCCTGCAGTGCTGTGTGACCCTAGTGGGTTTAGTGCTTAGGTTTGATCATAATCATCTCCCTTAAAGCCACTGGTGTCAAAAGTCGAGCAACCTTGATCTTTAATCAATTTGGGATATGATAAGCAAATCCTCCTTTGATTTTATGCAGCCCTAACCCAACCATATTCTGCAGCCTCCGCAGTTACTTGAAAAAAAAAAAATTAAGAAATGTTCCTTGATGCCAGTGAGAGACTGATTCAAGGAACTAAATCTGCCCTTCCTTACTTGAATCAAACCTGATAAATTCTCACTTCCCCAATTAATATATGATCCCAGTGGTTTTAGTGGTGTGGGGGACCTTAGCTCTTTCCCAATTGAAAGCTTTTTGATTATAATAATAATAATCCCAATTGAGAGTCTATTCAGATACAAACATCCTATTTTACATGACTGACATGATGCCCTTTGATATTTTGTTTCCACGAACTTCGTGTCCCTTATGTGTAGAATAATCTTCGACATTCATAAGATTAATTTATTTAATCATCCCCTTTCTATATTTATTACACATGTTTGATTTCCACATTCAACCTCTGGCAATGTCTCTTAAATTTGCCTTCCTCTGGGAAGCTTCAGTGTTTTGCATTTACTGCTCCTATGAAAATTTTTGGCGGTAAAATATTTTCAAACTAATCACTTTTTATTAACCTAATTCTCTTTCCAACTGCAAACTATTTTCACTCGGCACCTCGGTCAGCTATTCATAATCTGCCAATCCCCTACAGGAAAGATCTGGTTTTTGTGCTATTTCCCGTACTCTGCTAACAACTCTTAAAAGCTGATACACGTTTATGAATTCAAGGACAAATTGTTTTCCGGCTTTTTATCAAAGTCTGGTGAAAGAAATTACTCTCACAATTATGAATCAAACATAAATGGCTAGGAACAGATATCACAAGGAGAGATGTCCGGCACATCTGCAAGGACTCCCAGGCAACTGATGGTTCACCATATATTACTAGACTTCTCTCTCAAAAAGCACTTTGAGTTCACTTTCAACATCTACATCTCCCTGACGCACCAATTCTTGAAATGCCCTCCTCATCAAGAGTCCAACCTTCACTGCAAGTTCCCTTTATGATTTAAAATGTAAACTTCTCTATTGCACAAACCATAACATTCATTTGACACTCGCCAGCCCTCACCTCCACTCATCCCTTCCCTCTAGTCCAGTCTATAGTATGACCTATTTGGGTTCAGCCCTTGTTTTCATATTCAGGAGGGCCCCGCTTTACAGCGTTTTCGCTAATACGGCAGTTTTCAATTATACCCATTCTTCATTTATTCAGACTTCCTACAAAAATATATTCAATATATGTTACGAAAATATTTTAAGGTAAGTAATGTATGTACTGTATATGCATTTTTTAAGACTAACTCTATTTCTCACTTAATTTAGGGTATACATGTTATCAGGCTTTTTCGTGCATTTGAAAGTGATAAAAAAAAGGCTGTGTAAGTGGGGCCAGTATTAGCCCGGAACCTAACCTGCTGTATAAGTGGGGCCAGTAGTAGCCGTGAACCTAACCTGCTGTACAAGCGGGGCCCTCCTGTATAAGAGTAATTGTGAATTTAAGCTATGCTGCCCCTCCTCGGGTCCAGCTTTATTACCATCCATTACCTTGGGTCTCAATTATCCTTATAGGGGGGTCCGGACTAAATTAGTTGTCCACTCGAAGGATGTTCTTGATGGTGGTTAGAGGCTCTTGATCCAAGAAATTGGACTTGTCCTTCCCTTGGATCGAATCTGATTGATTTCCATTCTGCAGGTGCTTAACAGTACCAATGAAATATATATCTTCCCTTGAATCAAACTTGATTATCAGTCATTGCCAGACACTATCTTCCCCACAAGTTTAGCACGCCACATTTGCCTTTGTTTATAAACACTAGGCATCTCCCACTTCTTCTTTTTAATGTAATAATAATAATAATTGACTTAGAGTCTTGAAGGTGGGAAGGGCAGTGCCTGAACTCTGAAAAAGTAAGAGTAGGAATCCGGTTGTCCGAGGCTAGTCTGAATGAATAACAATGAATGTATTTTCTTCTTTGAGTCGCCCTTCCTTGGCTGGAGACAGCTACTGAGTTAAAATAAACAAAAATGGTTTTCCAGGTAATGAATTAGCGGACTCCTGCCGGCGCTCCGCACATCAACACCTTACAGTCGCCCACAGGACAAACCTTCAAACTTTTCTTAGGTAATATATCGGTGTCTCGGGAACTACTGTCAAAGGCTTTGGTCCATGTTAGTAAAGAATCTTTGTATCCACCAAACCATATTTGCATACCTGGTCATCTTCGCTTCAACACTGTCAGCTACGAGACTGCTACACGAGGACTGTCAAGTCATAATGATAAACATTATTTCGTTGGCTGTGTCAATAAAGTAATGGTTTACAGTACTGAAGAGGATCCCAGAAGGGGGTCGAAATATACAGATCAATTAATCTCCTGTGTTTCTGTCTCCATGTGGGTTATTGAGCAATGACGAGTAGTTGAGTTAGACTAATGTGCCCCTCAAGGAAGGTTCCTTGATGCTGGTGAGGGGCTCTTGATCCAAGGCCCCTCAAGGAAGGTTCCTTGATGCTGGTGAGGGGCTCTTGATCTAGAGAATTGGATCTGTTCTCCAGTTCCCTGAATTAAACCTGAATACCTTCCACATTCCCGCAAGCGCTGTATAATCCTACGGGTTTAGTGCTTCCCACTTGATTATAATAATAATAATATTATTAATGATAATAAAAATAGACTAATGTGCAACAGATAGGCATCTTTAAATCCGAAAGATTTCGTTTACGCAGGTTTCTTCAGTCGAATACAGAGAGGACTAAATATGGCGATAGCAGATGCAGTGGAGAAGTAAAGATGATGTGATCAGTCCATCAGTCTTGAACAAATAATTTTGAGGTGGTCAGTCCCTCATCCTTGATGAGTGTTCAGCTCCATAGTCTGGAAGACAGTCTTGACTGTCCTAGTAATAAAAAAGCTCATAGACTTCAGCAAAAGAGTTGCAAGTGGCATGGAGAGATGCAGCAGCTGAAGACGTGATCACATGTGGGCGGGACCCTCCAAAGAAAGTGGTTCAGGCCCATGAAGTTTACCGTAGTTGTCTTTATGTTACTTCAAGGGGAAGCAAGGGCCTTGATATCGGCCAAGAGATCTTGATCAAATTTTTTTTAAGCAATGTTCCTCATCTTTGGATCAAACTTGATTAATTCCCATTTCCCAGATGCTGTATGACCCCTACAGGTTTAGCATTTCCCCGTGAATATGAAAATAATCGACCTCATTCAACTTGCTGATGGAGCCGTGCTGCTGCTGTTACTGCTGCTGCTGTTACTGCTGCTGCTGTTACTGCTGCTGCTGTTACTGCTGCTGCTGTTACTGCTGCTGCTGCTGCTGCTGCTGCTGCTGCTGCTGCTGCTGTTACTGCTGCTGCTGCTGCTGCTGCTGCTGCTGTTATTCTTGTTGTTGTTGCTGCTGCTGCAACTGTTTCTCAACATGGTAGGGTGACGGAAAAAAAAAGAAAGTATATTCACCACAGCTAGCTCTTTTTTTAGAAATGAACGACAGTCAGGGTACAGTGACCAGCTGCATCGCAACGTACCTTTATAAGGCCGACAGTGCACACATAACAGTGCCAACGGTACACGTGAGTAGCAACGGAACATCAAGCAACAAAAGGACATAACAGAAACAATGAGACATAACAGTGGCAACAGAACATGCAACAGCGCCAACAGGACACAACA